TCTCACTTCTCAACGTTATGGGTAAAATATTTACTGATACTATCGAAAAAAGGTTAAGACGATGGGTTGAAACAAACGAACTTATATCAGAGAGTCAAGCTGGATTCTGTCCCTGATATTCTACAGCAGATCACCTATTCACGCTTCAATCACTATGTTCAAAATATCTTTGTAAACCAAAGGGTAGATTTTATTGTTGTTTTATAGACTTCCGAAAGGCCTTCGATCTTGTGGACAGGAAAAGAATGTTAACTCTACTGCTTCAAAAAGGATGTCATGGAAAAGTCATTACTCTTCTCAAGAACATGTATTCATCGATCAAGGCGTGTGTGATGGTGCAAGGCAACGCAACGGAAATATTCTCAACATCTGCAGGGGTTCGACAAGGCTGCATTCTCAGCCCAGTGTTATTTATATTATATATAAATGAACTTGTAACAGCCATGTATAGATCATGTACAAGTAATATTCGTCACCCAAGATATTGAAGACTTGATGCTCCTACTTTTTGCGGATGACGTTGTGTTATTTTCGTTTACCATCATCGGCTTACTGCTCAGAATCAGGATTACAACTGAAGTTTAATAAATCCAAAATTATAGTTTTTAGAAATGGTGGAAAACTAGCACAGAATGAAAAATGGACTTATAAAGGACTGCCTATCGAAACCGTCACATATTACAAATACCTTGGACTTATCTTCTCATCACGACTGGTATGGACAAACGCATGTGACACTCTCGCACAGCAAGCTAGTAAGGCATGCCTTGCAATAAATAGATTCCTACAGAAAAATAAAGAAATAACGTTTTCAACTGCATGTACGATATTCGACACTAAAGTTTTACCAATACTCCTCTATGAAGCAGAAGTGTGGGGATGCAAGTATTCAGCTTCAATTGAAAAAGTTCAGTCAAACTACTTTAAACACCTTCTCAAAGCTGGAAAATTTGCTTCAAACAAGGCAATTCTTGGCGAGACTGGAAGACATTTGATTTATATATCAACACAAGTAAAGGTCATCAAGTACTGGATAAAAGTTCTACGAATGACAACCGATAGCCACGCACACCAGTGTTACCGAATGCTTAAATCACTCGATGAAAAAGAAACTGGACTTCTGATATTAGAGAAACATTGTTCAAGATAGGATTCTCACATGTATGGATCGCACAGGATGTCGGAGATGTAAATAATTTCTTATCATGTTTAAAACAGAGCCTCAAAGATATATCACACCAAAACTGGCATCATGAGATAAACAGTTCAAGTTTCCTTACCCACTACGTTTCATTCAAGTTTTCACTTGAAAGAGAATCATATATCATGAACATCAGGAACAAACACCTAATAAGAGTCTACTTCAAATTTAGAGCTTCGCTAACAAACTTCAAGATAAACAAGCTAAGAACCAATAAAGATACAACGGCAATCAACCCCATCTGTGAACTTTGTAATCATAACCATAATGAAGATGGCAACCATGTATTTTTTGTCTGTGACAAGTATAATCAAGCCAGAACTACAGAAGCTACAATCAGTCTACAGAGGCCCACTAACCATTCAGGCAATTTTGTCTCAAAATAGTCACAAAATAGTAATGTACAGCATCTAACAGCTATCTATCTCAATGAGATATTCAAAATAAGATCAATATGAAACTCAAATGTTTATGATCACGTGTAATTTAAATTGTATTTGTAAACTGTATCAAAGGCCTTAAGCCCAAATACTACTGAATAAACTTCTCAGTTCAGTTCGGTATACGTCCCCAATTCGTCAAACACAGTACAGTTATCCCCACATTAGTATACATAAATCACACCTGTGTGTTTCTTTGTTTGCAGAGTATATTTTACCACCAAAGAAAATGTTTCGGCAAATATTAAATTTAATTATTCTCAATTTGATATTTCATTCTGATAATATTTAGAACAGATATAACACATTTGATAACTCCAAATGTCAAATGATTTACTCTGGATGTAAGTTTACATAATAATGAAAGCGACCAAATCCTTTTCATAGCTTCAGGAAATCTCTGTAAATTGGCAGGCTAGATTGCAATCGTCCGTCTTTTACATGAGTATGTGTATTTATATCACTATCAAAGAGTGAGAACACCAGGTGTTCTCGAAAAGGGAGCGGATCCTGCACCATCAGTGGAACATGTCACAAGCATATGCGAAGACAAGTCGATACTTCACCTAGAATACCCCCAAACGGAAACTAATTCTACAAATCTAAATAATGAACTGCATCGGTATTCCTTGTCGTCACTAATGCTCCAGATGTGACTTAGTCCTCTACGTGTTTGCCACAAACGTTTTGAATGTTGTTTTAGGCCGTGTAGTGACCGTGATCAAACATCTGTGCAAGAGTCGTTTGACGCACTTCCAAAGAAAACATGATTCTCTGTACCTGAAATGAATATGTTTCTTTTAAAAAGGACAGCAAAACAATTATATTATTATCACATAGTATGAGTAAACTGTAACCAGTGAAATACTAAGAGGTGTTACCCCATCGTTAGCGTCAGTATTTATATTTGATGCCAGTAAAATAGGGCTGCACACGCCAGTAATCAGAGCTATAGAGACCTATCAGGCTATCAGAGATAATCTAATAACTAGCTCGATTTCTCCGGAACATTGTCATCTGGATCTTGGTCCACTTGGTGGTGTGTGCAGGGGTAAAGTGAAAGTTTCTTAAATGACCATTGAAACTCTCGCGAAAAACGGGTGAAAATCACCTGTGCACACCCTTTCTCAAAAAGCTGTATCCGCCCCTTTACCTAAGAGTTATTCTATTGCAGTGACTGTTCCAGGCGGCCCAGCTTTAGGAACCTGCGAGACATCTGCTGACTGCTCAGTGGCCAACACCTCCTGTCTGGAGGGACAGTGTGTCTGCGACATGATGCTTATCTTCTCTGAAGCTCATGGTGGATGCATTCAAAGTGTGTACATACTGAATCTTTAAACAATTACATGAAGAGTTAAAGCCATTTTAGTAACGGTCACATAAGGCAAACCACAACTTCAATGCATTCAATGAATCCTTCAGAAATCCCGTTTCGAATCAGATATGCCAGTTCTAGAGGTTTTCAGTAAGTGTGTTTCCAACATTTGAACACGTGCGAACCTTTGACCTGAGTTGATTTTCGACAATGGACATGTAGATATATTACTTTAGTATAATATGTTTTGAGATAATTCGATTTTTTACATTTCAGCCATACCGAAGATTATCGTACTTTCAATTTCCAGCTGGATCGCTTGGTCAGGCTCGTTGTCCTGGTTAACACATGTCATCATCCTGAGTGCGTAGATCGATGCTCATGCTGTTGATCACTGGATTGTCTGTTCCAGACTCGATTATTTAAAGACCGCCGCCATATAGCTGGAATATTGCTGAGTGCGACGTCAAACAAAAAAACCCAAACAACCAAAAAAACAACAAAAAACCCACACAAAATAACAACAAAAACAACAACAAACAAACCAGAACACAAATGTATAGGCTCATTGTCGCACAATGTTCAGTCATCGACATCAAGATGATATTGGCGGGTGTTTCGTTACAATCAGCCCAGCATTAATATATGAAGATTACATACGTAATACAGATATTAAAACACCTTGATAAAAGTTAGCCGTTTCCAGAGTATTACAAAGGTTACTTTCCAAGTTACAAAGGTTACTTTTCTTTGCAGACTGTGCCCGATATGGAAGGACATTCACCAGATATGTTGGTCACATCCTACGCGAACACAATGACAAGAAACTACCCTCCATCTCGGAGAAAGAGTGCCAAGAGGCTTGCGTCAATGAGACAAGCTTACTTTGTAAGACCGCAGACTATAATCCAACATCAGCCAATTGCTACCTGAGTTCAACAGCGTGGATGGACGCCCCGGCTTCTTCAAGGGCAGCTGATAACAGATACAACCTACACATCCGTCATTGTGATGCCTAGGTGCATTTAAAACGGATGACAGTGCTACAAGTTTATTGTTAAACAACGAAAATCATCTTACTGTATTTCGGTTGGACTTTTTACACATGAAATTGATAAACGATTTGGTAATTGAACATGATTATAGTTGTTACTTTAATATTGTCGTTAGTGCTGATTTGGTATACTCGCTTAATAATATTCTGTGATATGTAATACGTCATGTTTATGTATTTCGGTTCGACTTTTAACATAGGAAACTGATAAACGATTTGGTAATTGACCATGATTACAGTTGTTGCAGTTAGTACTGATATGGTATTATCGCTTAATAATATTCTGTTTTATAGCTAAAATGGATAGCATTATCATTAAAACGTCCGCATGTTATCCGAAATGAGCGGGCCACTGTAACTTGATAATGCCCCCAAATTGCTTGACGACGGGCCATTATCATGCCCGTTCTTAGGTGACATCATAAGGAGCTCAGCTCTTGATGTTCAATCACCTACGGCTCGTTTGAACTTGGTTCAATATTGACGATATTTCTGATTCACATTTGTCACATGTATCTGTGTTATTATGTACTTTCTTGTCGGTGCCAACCTTAACAATTGTACCATAAATTACAGCAATGAAAACATCGACTAGAACTCTAACGTTGCTTAGCACTGAAACAAATGGCGGCTGGTAGTATGGGCAAAGGTCAAGGTCGAATGTCGTCACTCTCAATACTGACGTCATCTGCCTTGTTCTATGACGTTTCCATATTTGTAAAAAGTGGGTCAGTGACCTCCGTTATTTGTTATTTGCAGTAGATCCTTCCAAACCGATACCGTTGTTTGTTTTTATTCTTTTAAATTCTATCCATTTTAGCTATAATAACGGTAACGCTATTTTTTCAGGATAATGCCCTGAATAATAGCGTTGCATTTAAAATATGTAATATGAAACTTAATAAATACGGCGTCGTTACTACTGTAAATTTTGATGACATAAAGATCCGTATTTGAACATTGAGGTTCCTTGATATTTACTTTGCTGGTTCACAGTTGCTGAAGAAACAGGGCAGAATAGCTCAGGTGATGTGATTGTATTCGGGCATATTTCCAGACCGAAGATAACTCGGCTGATTGGTAGCTGTGTGAAGAGACGAACGATGTTCCCCATCGAAACTCTTCAACATTCTGGCTTTTAGGATAGATGAAGCCACATCTTCCAATGTGAACAGCTTCTGTATACGAAGCAGATATGGCTGTGATGAATATATCTTCTATGTGTAACAAGGGAATCTTGGGAATGACGGTCAAGAGGTCACGGATAAGGTCACCGGATATGACGTAGGAAGGCCCGAAGATGTAGTTAGGGAGCACATTTCCGGAATAGTAATTATATGGCAGATAATTCTCTTTAGTTTTCACCCTTTGTGGAGTTGCTCCTCTTCCGACGTATCCCATGATGAATCTAGATTGGTAACTATGCATTAACAGTCTATAGTACAGGTTTGATGGATTTAATACAACGTCATCATCGATTTTGAGGATGAATTTCACGCTTGGTACAAAGAAGTTGGCCCACTTCAAAATACCTATACTCTTATGAACAAGATTTAGATATGTCTCATCTTTATTGATTTGTGTAACGTCCCCGTAATGGTGTATTTCGTTCAGGAATTGTTTCCGGTGTGAAAGATTGCTTTGGTTTTGTTTCCCGACAACGAATATGAGGCACACGTGTCCTGGGGCATTGTCTTGTAAGGCGGATCCCCATGTCTCTTTGATGACTTTGCGTCTCTTGAAGTTTCCGAACGTTGAGACTACAGCTACCAGTAACCATATCTTCTTGTCCCTGTTAGGAAATGCCTTGCAGATGTAGCTGTGTACGAGAAACCGAATATGTTTAACGATGGAGGTTGGTTGCTTAGAAGAAATGTCTCCCATGATAGTTTTCTGAATTGTTTCGGTTGCGCAACAAGTTGGCGAGCCCATGCGACACATAGCTTCACTGATGAAGAAGAAGTACCCAATGTAGGTTACCATGATCAGTATAAGGACGATGAGCTGATAAACTCTGATACATCTCACACCTGTAACCGCACTGTATATTTGAACATATTGCTCTTGTTGAAATAGAAATAGATTGTGGTTGTTTATATCTGGAATTATATAGGAAAAAAACACGCATTGAAACGAACTGGCAAATCACGACGAATGAGGACACACACACACACACACACACACACGCACACACACACACACGCACGCACGCACGCACGCACACGCACACGCACACGCACACACACACGCAGAGAGAGAGAGAGAGAGAGCCTCTTACTCTCTTGCAGTTTGAATCTCTGTGTTTACATGACATTAATTAGGTAACGCTGATGTTACGTAAATATATAACTGATTTGCTCTGATGTTTATCTCTCACCTTTCACTGCAAGTTACTATCCAGACTCAACCTGGGTACTGTTTTCGGGAAATCCTATTGAAACAACACAACGACTGCACTCGACTATGGCTACTGTACCGTAGTTCCTGCTTTATGGGAGCTTTATTGGCACCAGTGATCTTTTTTCCGAATATTTCATCATATGGGTATTTACACTCGTACACACACGCACTCACATGTAAATACGGGTTGAACCTTATTAGTCAGTCACTAACGTCTTAATTTGCATTTGTAAGTATGACGCCATAGAGGGCATGCTGTAAATTGCTTTTATAACGAACTCAAAGGGAGCACTGGACCTGATTTCTCGAAACAAACTTAAGTTTGTACTCAAAGTTCAAACTGAGTTTGACACTTTGAAACAGCTGAATTTATAACACAAATGCATTTCTAAAATCAAAAAAGTCAAAACAACTCAAGTAAAATATTTACTAAACTTATCTTGTCTACTATGTGTGAGTTAAAATCTTCAGTTTATTCCGGGAAATGCATTTTCCTTCGTTTTCTCATATTCGAGAAGAATCGTTTACTTAAGTCAAAACTTCGGTTTGTTTTTTTATAGACAAAGTTCGTTATAAGGATTTCGACTTTTGTATAAAACAACTGGCCATGAAAAGAAAACGCCCCAGGCGTGATCCGTCCGTTCGTTATAAACGTCAGTTTGTTATGAAGGTGTTCGTCATAACCGTCAGTTTGTTATGAAGGTGTTCGTTATAACCGTCAGTTTGTATGAAAATGTTCGTTATAACCGTCAGATTGTTATGAAGGTGTTCGATATAAACGTCAGTTGGTTATGAAGGTGTTGGTTACAACCGTCAGATTGTTATGAAGGTGTTCGTTATAACCATCAGTTTGTTATGAAGGTGTTCGGTATAACCTCTGGTTTGTTATGAAGGTGTTCGTTATAACGGTCAGTTGGTTATGAAGGTGTTTGTTATACAAGTCAGCTGGTTATGAAGGTGTTCATTATAAAGTCAGTTTGTTATGAAGGTGTTCGTTATAACGGTCAGTTGGTTATGAAGGTGTTCGTTATAACCGTCAGTTTGTTATGAAGTTGTTTATTATAACCGTGTTATGGAGGTGTTCGTTATAACCGTCAGTTTGTTATGAAGGTGTTCGTTATAACGGTCAGTTGTTATGGTGTTCGTTATAACCGTCAGTATGTTATGAGGGTGTTCGTTATAACCGTCAGTTTGTTATGAAGGTGTTCTTTATTACCGTCACTTTGTTATCAAGGTGTTCGTTATAACCGTCAGTTGTTATGGTGTTCATTATAAACGTCAGTTTGTTATGAAAGTGTTCGTTATAACGGTCAGTTGGTTATGAAGGTGTTCGTTATAACCGACAGTTTGTTATGAAGTTGTTCGTTATAACCGTGTTATGAAGGTGTTCGTTATAACCGTCAGTTTGTTATGAAGGTGTTCGTAATAACCGTCAGTTTGTTATGAAAGTGTTCGTTATAACCGTCAGTTTGTTACGAGGGTGTTCGTTATAAACGTCAGTTGGTTATGAAGGTGTTCGTTATAAACGTCGGTTATGAAGGTGTTCGTTATAAACGTCGTTTGGTTATGAAGATGTTCGTTATAAACGTTAGTTGGTTATGAAGATGTTCCTTAAAACGTAGTTCAGTGAACTTGGGAGTATTTCGTGTTAATGTTGTGTATTTAATGTAAGTACGGTACTTACACATACACACCAGTTTATCGTAAAGCTTATCATAATAATGTGCCATATTTATCACTTGTTGAAGTGATGTGAATACAAGGCTTAACATCTATTGCATTTGCGAAACATTTTGTCAACAAATATTCTGGTTCAGAATAGACGCCCAATGAAAAGTTACTTGTAGAGTTGACGAAAAATGGACGTTTATTGCTGATTGCGAGGTATACATGCCAATAATGGTTGGATCAAGCTTTTAATTGCTGATTGCGAGGTTTTTGGGGTTATAGGGGTGACAACCATTATTGGATAATACTATGGGATATTGGGGTTGTTCATGATTTCAACCACTCGGTTGTCTGTGCAGGTGCGTGGTTAGCATGTTGTCCCACAGATGACACACGCACGTTAGGTATGTTGATCACCTGACACATACACGGGAACATACAGTACAAATGAATGAGTGAGTGATTTATAATTTAACGTCACCTGGGCAATATTTCAGCCGAGAAATTTTGCATCATTTTAAATGTTAATAATCAGTTAAAATAACTCGATTGTCGTGCAGGTGCGTTTTAGCATGTTGTCCCACAATAAACGCACGTTTTTGAAATGTAACGTCACCTGGGCAATATTTCATCGAAAGGATTGCATACAAAATAATTTTAAATGTTAAATAATCAGTCATCGAAGGACTGATATAACTAGAGTATCACATATGGTGTCTAAAACTAGCATGGAAATCTAAAACTGTGTTATCTACGAAGACTAATATAAAACAGGCTATAGGTCCCGAACAACTGAAGGGAGATCACCATACTAGGGACCATGGGGACTTACAGTACCTTTGCTACCTGCATGGGCCCCAGCTGGATTTACACCAACCCTTTAGCCGCTGCTGACTGTAGGAAAATTTTGTCGAAATTTAAAATAACAAAAATACTACGTTTAAAAATTGGTAAATTTAAATTTACTTTGAAAGTTTTGGGACTTACGTACCCTCCCAGGAGGATAATCAGTACAAATGAAAATAATGAATTGCCTCAGACATAATATTTGCAACTGATACTTCATAATTCCTCCACGTGTATACCATAAAACTAGTAAATCGTTCTACTGAGGCCTCTGCTGCTGTAGCAGTGACAAACAACGTTTGAAACGTATGAAGTTAGGGAGAAATCAGAAGAAGCCATTGAATCTGAATCCGGAATCAACAGATTTTCAAAAGTCTCAAAAGAATACTCCAAAGTCACGAGTTGCTGGAATATTACACGACGAAAACTGACACGTGTAGGTAAATGAAACATTTGCTTTGTTCCTAATGGGGCGGTGGGGTAGCCTAGTGGTTAAAGCGTTGGCTCGTCACGCCGAAGACCCGGGTTCGATTCCCCACATGGGCACAATGTGTTAAGCCCATTTCTGGTGTCCCGGCCGTGATATTGCTGGAATATTGCTAAAAGCGGCGTAAAACTAAACTCAGTCAGTTGTTCCTAATGTTAATTTCGACACATCATATTTCGTACTGTGATAGAGTTCAACAACCTGTTAAAGGCCAGTTGTTTTGTCAGTGTTATATACACTTGATACCATATAATGGTTCAGAATTTGAAAAGTGACAGTAGTCGATAAATGCTCCATGTTCTAAAGTTATAGTTATTATTTTTGTTAATAGCTTTAACATTAATTATCATCTTGTTTTCCCACCTTTATAATTACCGAGTCACTAAGAGACTGTTCAATATCTTAATATTCATTCCAACGGAATTATATTTATATCTTTTATATAGATACAATACCTGTATTCGGAATTGATGTCTCATACATTATGGATAGTTGGGAATTCATCTATTACGTCATTCTGCTGTTGATTCAATATTACTTGCTAGGATACATTCTTATCCTTGTTTCAATGTATACTCTCAGTTCATCACATATGTATCTATTATTCGTTTTAGTGTTTTTAACTGCAAAACATTAACTGAACGTTGTAAGATCATACACTATTATAGGACTACAGAAACAATCCATGGTTTATACGCCATTTCATTTATTCTTATCGATGCCCTGTTGCATATACCGGAAAAGGGTCATTCTACATAGTTGACTCAAGTTGGCATTCTGCACGCATGCATCAATCGAAAATGCTGTTCTTGTCAACTGTGGTTTGCACACAGGTTGAAGTTTACTTGAGCGTGTTATATTTCAAAATGTATGAATGTTATTTTGATTTTTTATTATATGGGTATTTACAGCGATATAGTCCATCCCATCTACATTCATTCTCAAAGTGCAATACCTTGTCCACGTTTTACCTACACGTTGCAAGTATTCATGTGGCCACCATCTGGCCATATACCAACGAATTCGTGGTTCATTTAAGTGTACTGGCTCCACACCTGCTGTTACCAACGAACGCTGTTCCACATGTTTGGTCACACTGATCACGAAGGCCCATCTTTGCGTTTACTCACTGAAGATTTCTACCATGTTCCCCTGCCTACAAGTTGCGTACTAATTAGGGAACATCTTCAGCGAAACACCAGTGATCACTATCACTCTCGCATTACGCAGAACATGTCGTCTTCTAACTTCGATGCCCAAGCCACGGGTTGTACTGTGTGATAGGACAAGATCGTGTGTTCAGACATTGACTTTCTTGTGGCCTCGCACAGACTGAACAGCGTTCAGTGCAAACCCAGAACAAGTCGGAGCATGACTTTTCCAGTAAAACCAGAACCAGTTATTAGATGTGACCAGAGACATGTGAACTTTTTGTCAATGGTGGTCATTCAGTGACAAATTACCATTCAATGTTGACTCTAATTTAGTGTTGGGTTATAATCTCGTAATATATGTGTGTGATGTATATGCTTTGTGGTTACCCAAAGAAACATAGGATCATTCTCTTATTCTCTGGCTCCAT